AGTTGTGAAGAATGATGAGCTCAAAGATGTGTCAATGAAGGTGAATGGGAAAGTTCAGGGTTTAGGTTTTGTTAAGGTGAATATGGATGGAGTTGGTATAGGCAGAAAAGTTGATATGAGAGCTCATTCGTCTTACGAAAACTTGGCTCAGACGCTTGAGGAAATGTTCTTCGGAATGAAAGGTCTGTACTCTTGTCAAATGCTTATACATTAAAATCGATTTATATTCGACTATGGAGCTTGACATTTGCTGTTTAAAATCATCAGGTACTACTTCTCGGGAAAAGGTTAGACCTTTAAGACTTTTAGATGGATCATCAGAGTTTGTACTTACTTATGAAGATAAAGAAGGAGATTGGATGCTTGTGGGTGATGTTCCCTGGAGGTAAGAATCGAACAATGGAGCATCGTATGAACAATTTAAAACTCGATGATTAGTCTCTGTGAAGATCTAAACCGTTTTCCCTTTTCTTTTATTAGAATGTTTATCACTTCGGTGAAAAGGCTTCGGATCATGGGAACCTCAGAAGCTAATGGACTCGGTATGTTTTAAAGATCATCTTATGACTTCTTGATTTCTCTTCTCGTTTAATAAAAACCCCCGAATGAAACATTCTTAATGCAGCTCCAAGACATCAAGAACAGAAGGAGAGACAAAGAAACAACCCTGTTTAGCTTCTCTTCCAATGCATTGTTATGGTCTTTTTGAAGAAAGTATATCGGAGAATCGATTAAAGAAAAAAATGAAGCTTAGATTTGATTTTAATCCGGATTTCAAATATGGTTTTTGTTTAGGGCATTCAATTTGTAGTTTTTGTCTGGTGTTTTTTTTGGTTCTGTTGTTTCTTCTTCCGCGGTGTATTATTTCTCTCTGTTCTAAGAGAATGATCTTCTTCTCTCATATTGTAAATAGTTGAAGCTATATAATGTGATGAGAGCTCTGTTTCTCTGTGTTTTTTTTTGGCTGTTCTTACTTCTTGATTCGAAAGAATGAATATCACTTCCTTAATATGGTTTGATGTTGTTTTACTGTCTTTTGTGTTTCTATTGACTTGAGTCAAAAATATTTTGCAGAAAGAGTGAAGACTGATACAAAGTTACAAACCTTGTAGAATAAGATGTTTCTAGGACCATAAAAAACAAAATCTGAAAAGTGTACAAGATAATGTTCTTGGGGAATTCTGTCTGAAAAAAATAATTGTTTCGGACATCTTAAATATTTTTAAACAAAATTGTTTTTGTCATTTCTTAGTCTGATAGATTTGATGTAATAATCGAAAAGATAATCTAGTTTCAATTTAATTAAGGCAAAGCAAGTAAGAAATGTTTGGATTCATGTTACCAAATCAAAATATTCAAAATGCTATGCGATGCACGCATGTAATAGTTAAATCCTTACCTAAAATAAAAGAGATATTTAACATATTAAGAGTCCAACCAAAGATTAAAAGCATAACAAAATGAGTCCAAAACCAAATAAAGAAGAAAAAAACACTAAAGTCAAACACCTGTTTAGTCTGTAGAAAGAAGAAGAAGATTCATGTTGGTTTTGTGAAATCCTCCTAAAGACAAGAATTATTGATTTGGCTTTTGGAATTGAGAAAACAAAAAAAACAAAAAAATGGATCATAATCATCATCAATGGCGTTTGAGATTTTCATTCAAGAACGCCACAATTGCTCTGACTATCATCAATGTTCTCATCTTCCTCTTCCTCCTTCAGGGCTTCTTGACTTCCTCCTCTCCATCTTCTTCCTCTCGCCGAATCATTTCAGGTCTATTTCGATTTCTCTCTCTAACTTTTTTCGTAATTTTCCTTCTGGGTATATCCTGATTTTGCGTATTTTGATCAAAAGTTTGGTGCTTGAGTGATTATATTGTGATGGGTCACTTTCTTGGATCTGTTCATAAACAACAAAGTTTCAGGCTTGACTAGTTTTCAGATTTCTAGATTTAGTGTATCACTTGGATTCGATCTTTTCTGGATTTAGGGCTTTGACAATACTAAGAATCGATTTTGAGAAAAGTTTTAGATTTTTGCCTTATTGAACTGAATTTAGAAGACTTAGAAGTTATGCTCCTCCCATGTAACCATTGTCTGGATTCTGACATCAAACCTGTTAAAATAATGTTGAACCATTGTAATGTTGTAATGTTGAATCATGAAACTTGATGTAACCATTGTACTGTTGAACCATGAAACTTGTAATGTTGAACCATTGTCTGGATTTCTAAAACCTCTAGAGATGAAGAACTAATTTCATTTCTTTGAGAGATTGTTGAGATATTTCCACATTCCTCCTGTAAATTTGAGTTTAATTATCAATCAATCATCTTGTTTTCTGCAAAACTTTGTCTTTTTTTTTGTTGAGTTCTTAAAAGTTTGTTCTTTTGGCTTTCTTGTTTCACTTGCAGCTCAGCTTCGGTATATCAAGGAAGCGGAAGAGCTTAGGCGCGCGATGCAACCTTTAGAGCTCATCAAAAGAGTAAGCTACTACAACATTGCTATTTCGTATCTCGTGAACATCGTACATAGTCTTTGATTTCCAAGGTTAGCAATGTGGAAAAGATTTGGCTCTATGTTCTTTTGAATGATAGGTGCGAGAAATCGAACAAGAGGCATCTGCGGGGCAAGAAACCGAGCAGAAGAAAGATGTGAAACAGAACACAGCCGTTGATCTCTCTAAACGGCTTAAGGATTTTCGTGCGCTAAACGATGCATCGAGCTTGAAAGGTAACTACACTCTTCTTGTATTTGCAATGGAATTTATATCACCTCATTTGAAGGTTTCTTGATCTGTTAGAAATGTTCTGTATCTGTGCAGCACTGGAAGAATGGCGAAAGCGGAAAATGGAACGAGCAAGACAACGAGATCTTGAGAAATCCGGAGGAGTTCAAAACGTCATAAGAAGTTAATCCTCAAAATATCAGATAATCATATGACTAATCCTATATATATATATAATGATTTACCATTACAAGCCTCATAAAAGATTCATATTATTGTAATAGACACAGACACAAATACTTGAAACCTGTCTAATTACAGGAAAAGAAGAAGTATAAAGGAAAGGATCTTTATGTTTGTAATGTTTCTGATATTGAACTTCACAAACTTGCTTACACCAAATAATTCAGTAGGCTTTTTGAACAAACCTGTACTTTGGTCCAAGCCTCCAATTTGTCCAATAACATTTAATTTATGTTAACCGACACTTCGAACGATACCGTTTAGATATCCCCCCTCAAAAAGCCAAGTTCTAGAATAGTTGTAACTTGTGAGTTTTTCATCTTTATCTCAAAGCTTCTTCAAATAACTTTTGACAAACAACAGACAAAAACACGTTCGAGAAGAAGAACATGCATTTTCTTTGACAACAGAATAAAGTTTTGTTATAATGGGAAACAGAGTTGTGACTTCTAATTACCATCTTAATAACCTCTGCTTGAAGCACTGTTATAAAACTATGTACAAAGTTTCACAATTACATGTATAAGTTAGTTAGCTAATCGAATAACTACAATATTGCTCCCAATATATTAATGGCCATGTTTATTAATTAACTCCAGGTGAAGTATTATAAAGAATTGCATGACAAACAAATGAAATTGACCCCAATATATGGTAGTCCTCGAACATTAAATATGATAAACACATAGGGGATAAATACTAAATAAAAGAAAGAAACTTGGAGATTCGAGCTCAATGACAACACTGGCTATATCCAAAACACTTTGGTACAACCTCAAGACACGTGTCCCACCACCTGTAAGCAGCTCAACCCAAAGGGTCCTCTGTGCGTGAAACGTGTCCCTTGCCAAAAACAGCTAAGCTTTTGTGTATATAACAATGCAAACATATCTCTCTCTCTTATCGATCATATCACCTAGTTAGGCTTTTGTTGCATCAGAGAGAGAGAGAATCAGAAAGGATTTTGAGTGTCATAAGAGTAAAACAGAGGTAAAAGAGGAAATGGCAACGACTGTTGGAAGAAACATAGCAGCACCGTTGCTGTTCTTGAATCTGGTGATGTACCTTATTGTACTTGGTTTCTCAAGTTGGTGTATCAATAGATACATCAACGGTCAAACTAACCACCCAAGTAAATTATTCGTCAACTCTCTCTCCCTC